GAGTGGGGTTGTTTTGTTCAATTAAGACTTGACACTTAGTAATGTGGATGATCAAAATCATCCTGGAAAGGAGAAAGATGGGAGGATACACATAGAGCTATTTGTTGGTCCAATCTTGGCTGAATGCATTGACAGCCAGTGCAAGTGGATGTGGAACCAGAGACCAAAACAGGAGTAACTTGGTATTGAGGGATGTGGCAAATGCATCCAGGTGAGGAGTACCTTACTGAAGACATAGCCACTGGAAAACATGAAGATTAAGAGACCACTTTATCAGATAAATTTCGTCTGGTTGGGAAAAATGATCCACAACATAGTTGAATGCACCCAGACATGACAAGCAAGGAGACAAATACTGAGCCTGTGGGTCCAAAAAAGGGGATACAAGGTTCGACCAAAGGGAATGAGAAAGGGAGCCACTTTGGTGATTGATATAAGCTACCACTGTAGAATTGTCACATTGGATCATGACCAGACGATTCCTGGTAAGATGAGGAAAATGGTCCAAAGCACGACGTACGACCAGAAGCTCCAGGATGTTGATATGGTAAGATCTTTTGGCCGGAGACCACTGACCTGAAGCTTCCTGCTGATCAACTCACACCCTCCAACCATGGAAGGAAGCATCTGTGAATATATGCAAATCCAGATGAAAGGGAAGAAGGGGAACACTTATCGACATGTGGGCCTTGTCCAAACACCATTGCAGATCATCAACAAGGGAAGGAGGAAGGGAAATAGGAGCATTCAAATGATCCCGTACAAGGTTCCATTGGTCATGCAGAGTCCACTGAAAAGACCTCATATGTGCTTGACCCAAGCATAGAAGACCACATCCCCAAAAGCTATAGCACCTCATGAGCAGTAATAGAGCGAGCAGTAAGGGCATGGAAAACTGAAAGCTCTATCCAATGGGGTCAAAAAGGAGAAGACTGGGCCTGACTGAGAGGAGTGTTGAAAAAGACATCCAAGTGGATGAAATAGTGTGCAAGTATAAGAAATGACTTCTCCAAGTTGATTAACCAACCCATACGAGCTGCCACCAAAAGACACAGCTGAGTTTGATGGGCAGACACCCATCTGGAACAAGCTAACAGATGCCAGTCATCCATGTAATAGTGTAAGCACAACCCAAGCATACATATGTCAGGCAAAAGCCTGGACCACTCAACAAAAGACATACGGGGCTGAAGCAAGCCTGATGGGTAGGGCACAAAATTGATACACTACCTCCATGATGAAGAAACCAAAGATAGCACCTCGACTGACATGATATAGGAATATGCAGATAAACATTCGAGGTGTCTACTTTGGTCATTCACAGACCTGGAGAAAAAAACCACCTGAGGGTGAGAAAAGACTCCATGGTAAAGCAAGGCAAATACAAAAATTGATTGAGGTGGGACAGATCGATCACAGACCACCAGTCCCCATTTTTCTTGGGTACCACAAACAGCCTGGAATAAAAACTTGGGGAGGATAATGTACAGGTTTGATAGGTTTCTGGGAGAAAAGATTCTGTACCTCTTCAGACATACATTGACTGATGGTAGGATCCCAAGGCAACAGAAAGGATATGTGTACCCAAGATAATGGAGGAGAGGAAAAAAAGTGGATGACGAGTCCCTTGGATAATATCCGAATAATCCAAAGCTCTGTGGCAAAATAGCACCATAGAAAAACAAAATTGGTCAAGCAAGTCCCCACTGGCCCAGAACCCACAGGGTAGTTACTAGTATTGTTGGCAATGTGTCCATCTTTATCGATTAATACAAATGGAGGAACCCCTTGAGGCAGGAATTGGTAAAGACTGGGAAGAAGTGGAAAATAAAACAGTAATAGATGATTATTTAGGCTCAGAATGAGACAAACGATCAACCAAAGATTAAAGGGTCGATTACTGTCTCACAGATTCCACAAGGGATTCTGCAGTCTCAGGAATATTCCCTAAAATATACCGTTGGAGAAAAGGGGCCATACACAAGTCCCAAAGATATGTAGGTGGTAAACAAACTTGGGACAATACAGCATCTCTTCCCAGAAGACCCTAACAACAGAGAAACCATGTGTGTAAGGAAAGAGCTGAATAAGACAAATGTGCCAACATGGAGGTAATTAGGAAGAGAGTATCCTTCGAAAAACCCTCAGGATCTCGGTGGAGTACTTCAAAAAGGAGATGGATGGTGGACAAGTACCACAGAAAAGTCAATAGTGTATGAAGATGGCAGGAAAACTGAGCATGAGATAAATGAACAGGATGATCAGGGTCCAAAAGTGTTCCTAACTGTTGAGAATCAGGAAATGGAACTGAAGCCTGATGGTAGGCTAAATCAAATTGATCCAAAGCCCATGGAGTGTGAGGTATGCTAGCACCCTCATGCATCTGAGATACAAAATGCTCTACATGAACCCTAATATCTGGGGAAGGGAGAAATACAAATTACTAAGAGGAGGGGGTATCACGTAACAAGTATTAGAAGAAATTGGGAAAAGTGATAAAACAGAACACACATGAGAAACCATGTTCAAAAAAGTCATATTAGGCCTAGCTGATTCCACAATAGGGCATAGGAAGACATGGGAAAATCAGGTGGAGAAAAAAGGCTGTCAAAGTCTTTGTCATTGCAAATAGGTTCGACGTGTTCAGGGAGAAAATGGGCAACATCAGGAAAAGAAGGTTGATTCATACAGTGATCAATCTCTCCTCCAATAATTCCATAGTCGAGTTCCTCCCACTTGCAGCCCGTGTAAGTGTGCTGGTAGATGGTATCATCTTTAAAGTGGTAACTTGGACTTTGGACTTCATTGTTAAAGATGAAAATCCAAACACAACAGAGTTAGAATAAATAAATAAATAAATAAAAAACTAAGAAACATTTAGAAAAAAAAAGAATAACAATTCCACTTCAGAATAAATTACAAAACAGTTCCATC